CGCGGCCATAAGATTAAAAAATAATAATTCTTAGTGAAAATATTACCTTAACAATTATATAAAAAAATAACCTTATCAGTAATACAGACGTCAGGACATACTGTATTTAAATTGCATAAATTCATAATTACCTATTGAAACGTGTTGTGTTTTGCTTCATACATACATACATCCCAAGTGACAGAGATAAAGAAGATTCAGTGGAAGGACAAACGTGAATGGAAGTGAGTAGTAGCAGTAGATACAGGTGCCGTGGCCTAACACAGCATGCCTGATTGTTATAGGATAGTAGTAACATGACCAGCAGCACAACCGACACGGCAACACCCTCACTGCTGCAGCTCGAACCCAGAAACCCAGTAGGCCCCGCTTAGTAGATAACGAAGAGAATACGGTGTAGGCGAGTTGTACAGTATGTGGATGACTTTCCTTTTAAAATACACTTGACCATCCATTTATTATAATATATCCTGATTTTAATAAAGGTTATAGTCTCCTCAGTATTGGAATTTTCCTTCCTACTGAACCACGTACAGTAAATATAATCTGACATTAGCATGATCATTTTATTCATATCCTTATTATTAATACAGTTAATATTAAACATTAAATATGCAGATATAATTTGATATTAACATTGCAGACTGTATTCAGGATATTTTTAAACCATATAATTAACTTCGTACCCCTAGCCCATAAAGATTCAGAAAGTGTTTAAAATGAATCCCTTCAATATTGTTATGCATATATTGGGGCCCTCAAGGTTTTAGTTACGGATCGGGATAAAAAATTGACGGGGAAAATATTTAAAGACGTATGTGACCTTCTCAAGGTTCACACGGCACTAACCACCGCTCATTACCCCCAAGCAAACTATCAAAGACACTATCCATTCTCTTTCACGATGATCCTCACACATGGGATGAACAATTAAGTTTTGTACAGTTTGCCTGAAATGCAGCCGTCCATCAGTCACTTGACACTCAGCCTATATTCATCCTAACTGGGTTACCAGTTCTATTCCAATCAGGTCTTATTAATGCTCACAACGTTCACTATGGGCAAGACACCCCTGCTGAAAACATCAACCAAATGAAGGCCGCATGACGTGGCGCCCAGCAGGCCTCTGATCGAGTCAAGAAATATTACGCTCAGTATTATAATCAGAGAGTAAAAGCCTTGGCAGTGAAAGTAGAAACATTGATGATGCTATGGAACGACTTGTCTGAATCGGGACAAAGTAGAAAGCTGGGAACTCGTTGGAAAGGACCTTTTAGAATTATTGAGAAGAAAGGACCTGCTAATTACAAGTTTAAAGGAGTATTTAATGACTTTCAACCACGTGTAGTCCATGTTAACAGAATTAAGCTGTCCACACTCTCACAAGAACTAACCCTTCCAAACACTTCCCCAAGAGATAAGACAGACGAAACACCTCACCTTAAACCTCTCTTTGAGTTTAATGATGAACTGAATTATCTATTAAACCCGGTAGTAGGACCTTCTCATCCTATGACTCTACAGTCCAGGGTAGGCTACCACCTTTTAATCTATCAGGACCAGAGTTTTTCCGCGTTTCCAATACCGTGGCTGCTCACTATATTCCCGTAGGATTGTAGAGATTGCATTTTTCTCAGAGGAGAAGTTACCCCTGATGCCCGAAGTAAGATTTCAGATAAAATCCTTGGCTCATGCGGGTATCCTACATCACTCGACACATCCAGCTAAGCGCTGAATAAATCGACAGGTCAAGCAAAATCCTGTCTGGTTGCGTAAGGACTATAGCAACATGTCCGCCGTGCTCTAATTTTCCACGATCATGCATGGAATGAGAAAGAGCACATTAAAGTAACAGCCCCGGGGAACTTCGCTATCCAGACTTCAAACCAGACACACCTCCCTGCTGCTCTCCCAAATTCTGGTGGTGTTCTCATCAAAGGTTCTGGACTCGTGGGCTGTTGTCCCCAGACCTTCACCTATCGACTGTTTCTCCCGCTGTATCAAGACATCGTAGGTTGTCGCTCGAGTGAGAAGCTGAATGGACATTCCCCCTGAGAGTGGATCACAGCGTTCCAGAGCCTTCCCCAGGGCCGCTGCCGTAGGAAATATCTGTTCATTGTTTATTCTCTTGTTTGTTTGATTCCATTTAATTGTTTGATTCCATTAATTGCTGACTCCCATTAATTGTTTGATTCCATCAGTTGTTGACTTCCATTAATTGTTTGAATCCATTAATTGTTTGCTTCCATTAATTGTTTGATTCCATTAATTGTTTGACTCCATTAACTGTTGACTGCATTAATTGTTTGACTCCCGTAATTGTTATTTCATGTTTGTTGAGTGGTGTCAGAGTTTTGTGTTATATTTTTATAGTAAAGAGATGTCAATCTCGAACGGTTGTTTGTTATTCCTCAGAAAACCATGGTCCTTACCTTTCCTTTTATAAGATCCTCATCAGGCTGGTAAGAGATTTTTATCCCAAAGTCCCACGCCTTTACAACAAGGTAGCCGGCTACCAGTACCTGCAGACACGTCATCACCTGTGTGTGACTGACGCCTGTTAAAACCAGTTGCCGTCCTTGGAAGGAGGATACCAACTACAGGAGAAGAGCGGAGAAGTGAGAAGTTGATGTCACAGAGTTGTGACACATCCTGTCCTGGAAAACCCTGTTCCGTTGGTATCTCTATTAAGGATCCGACCCATAGGCACCTACCAATGCAGATGTGTCATGCCTAACCTGATGGAGTGTGGGAAGAGTGCAACGGTGCAACCTAACAGTTTACGGAGGTGTTAATACGGATGGGATTGTGGTCACTGTGAATACGATCGATGCTGTGTGTTCTGATCAGAGCTGGAGAAGAACGTTTTTATTGAGTTGTTGAGAAGAGGATCCTATGTCCTTGGGATGGACATTCCCGGTGTAGAAAATTGGCTAGCTGCGACCCCCCCTCCCCCCCCACACTATTGGAAAAGCTTCCGCTTCCGATACAAGTACTGAAAGTATATATAACAAGACAAAACTCGTATAGAAGATATACATATTGGTAGAATATTTAAAGTAGGAGGAATGTAAAGAGAGGAAGTTTGGTAGCGTGACCGGTTAGTTATTTACACTTATATTACGTTCTTAAGGGACATTTTGGAATCACCGCTTTCAATACTGCTCTTTATTATTCACTGAATGACACAGGCACATTAGTAAAACATTATATCGAAGTTACTAGCACATACGTGGCATGGACACATTACTCGAACATTATATTTACGTTACTAGACACTGAATCTCGGACACAAACATGAAATGAATACACTTTCAACGTAAGTAACTCACCCTATGGATAGCCCTGACAAAGACTCACGTGTGACCTGTGGGAGACCCAACAGGTGCTTCTGGACTGTCTCCTATGGGAGACTCTCCTAGCCGGAGATGCGGTGCTGGGGAAGGTAGTCTCCCTCGCCACCTCGACTAGCCGAGCGTGACTCCGTCTTCCGTAGATAGTGTTGTGAAAGTTGTCTGAATATGAATTGGGAATGACTGACGCAGCTAGAATGGCAATGACGAATGAGCCCCGTGGACGGGACTGCAGGCCCTTTATATGGGGGACAACCAGCAGATGACCTCTCCCAATTAACACTAAACTGGTTAGATCTGGACAGCTGTGTTTGTCCAGGTGCACGGTCATGTCCCATGTCTGTAATGCTTCCTAATTATTACACCCGGGGTGTCTTGGCCAGGTGTGGTCACCTTACCAGGGTCATATCTCAGGGTTAACTCAAGTACTTAGTGGACGAGGTCAGGTCCCTTGGGTCCTGACCCAGGGTGTGTCAACTTGGTATGTTTGTTATCACGTGGGCCCTTACTTAATGTTATATGTGTTGTAATTCTCTGGGCTGTAAGCTGTGGTCTGATAAACAATCATTACATATATGTCACCAAATAAGTCTCCTCATGACGAATTGAAACTATACCGCTGAACCCGGTAACCAGGGAGAAGGTATCTCGATTTTGGAAATACCGGTACCTCAAGGAAGATAGTACGTAATAGATAATGTAGTCAAAAAACTCCACGTCTCCAGAAAATAGTAGAACACGGATAATGCGTTACGGCATGGCTCGGTGGACGATGTAGCCTACTGGTTCCTGGCAACCATCATCTGTCAACAGGAAGAAACTCCACTCAACAGGCCTTCAAGGATGTGAGAATCTATGCTTATTGGAAAGAACGTTCTATAGTGACCAGCATAATGGAAATATGTGTTGTGGTCAGTTCTATGTGACCACACATGAACCACAGTGAGTGTTGAGAGGAAGTACTGTGCAGTATGTCTGAAAGCAGTAGTAATACAGAAAGTGTGAAATCCTATGTTGGGATTACTATTAGTGTATAGACAATATGTGTGCGAATTAAGAGGAGCATTTTCAGGGTGCACTTAGTAAATGCACATTTATACATTAACCTGCTACCATCTCTAAGACATTTGAAAACTCCAGAAACTCTTTGCATGCCCACTGAATTTTAAGTTTTATGTTACACACACACACACACACACACACACACACATATATATATATATATATATATATATATATATATATATATATATATATATATATATATATATATATATATATATATATATATATGTGTGTGTGTGTGTATGTATGTATGTGTGTATTTTATCCCAACGGCATACTCCTCCTCAGCAAGTGAGCTGCACACGACCTCACAATTACCAATACCATGTTTAGGCGGGACAACAAGTTCAAGGGTTCGTGGCAACACCCACGATCCAAACACTAGCATCTGATTGACTACATCATTGTCAGAGAAAGAGATCGCCAAGATGTCCTCATCACTCGAGCAATGTGTGGCTCAGACAACTGCGACACTGA